GTCCACCTCAGGTAATTGGGGAGGCTGAGCCACTGGGCCCTATAGGACACCTAGCACAGAAAGCCACTCTATCAACACAGGGAAGCATAAAAAATGTGGAGACAAAGAAACAAGTCACAAATGACAGAAATGGAGGAAAGCAAATTACAGGATATAGAGTTCAAAACCACACTTTTAAGGTTTTTTAAGTATTTTCTAGAAACCATCGATAAATTAAGTGAGACCCTCAAGAAATCTAGTGAGACCCTCGAGGTTATGAAAAAGAACCAACTAGAAATTAAGCATACACTGACTGAAATAAAGAATATTATACAGAGTTCCAACAGCAGACTACAGGATGGCAAGCATCAAGTCAAAGATTTGAAATATGAAGAAGCAAAAAACACCCAACTGGAAAAACAAAACGAAAAAAGAATCCAAAAATATGAAGATAGTGTAAGGAGCCTCTGGGACAGCTACAAGCGTACCATCATCCAAATTATGTGGGTGACAGAAGAAGAGAGAGAGCAAGATATTGAAAACCTATTTGAAGAAATAATGACAGAAAACTTTCCCTACCTGGTGAAAGAAATAGACTTACAAGTCCAGGAAGTGCAGAGAACCCCAAACAAAAGGAATCCAAAGAGGACCACACCAAGACACATCATAATTAAAATGCCAAGAGCAAAAGACAAAGAGAGAATCTTAAAAGCAGCAAGAGAAAAACAGTCAGTTACCTACAAGGGAGTACCCATACGACTGTCAGCTGATTTCTCAACGGAAACTATGCAGGCCAGAAGGGAGTGGCAAGAAATATTCAAAGTGATGAATAGCAAGAACCTACAACCAAGATTACTTTACCCAGCAAAGCTGTCATTCAGAATTGAAGGTCAGATACTGAGTTTCACAGATAAGAAAAAGCTAAAGGAGTTCATCACCACCAAACCAGTATTATATGAAATGCTGAAAGGTATCCTTTAAGAAGAGGAAGAAGTAGAAAAAGGTAAAGATACAAATTATGAACAACAAATACACATCTATCAACAAGTGAATCTAAAAATCAAGTGAATAAATAATCTGATGAACAGAATAAACTGGTGAATATAATAGAATCAGGGGCATAGAAAGGGAATAGACTGACTATTCTGGGGGAGGGGGAAGGGGGTGTGGGGTGTTCGGGAAAAGACTGGACAAAAATCGTACACCTATGGATGAGGACAGTTGGGGGGTGAAAGGGCAGAGGGTTGGGTTGGAACTGGGTGGAGGGGAGCAATGGGGGGAAAAAGAGGAACAACTGTTATAATCTGAACAATAAAGATTTAATTAAAAAAATAAAAATAAAAAAATAAATGTAATCAGCTATGCAAAAGAGCATGGAAATAGAGCTACAGAGAGACAATTTGAACTTCCTCCCACTGAGTATATGATCAGACAGTGGAGAAAATAGGAAGAACAACTCCGTAACATGCCAAAAAGAAGTCCTTAAGAGGAAAAGCAGCAAAAATTGGAGCAGAGGCTTAAGACTTGGATAATGGAGCAGCACCAGAGTGGCTTATGTGTGTCAACCAAGCTTATTCCATGTCAGGCAAGAATGTTTGCAAGCGAAATGAATATTGTTGATTTTACAGGAAAGGCAAAATGGTACTTCAATTTCATGAGGAGAGAAGGGTTGGCCATGAGAACACGATCAAAGTTAGCTCAGAAAATGCCACCAGTTTATGAGGATGATCCCACATATACAGACAGTGACTCAGAAGACACAAGTGATACAATAGAAGTTGAAGAAATTGATGTGTCTGGAACTAATAGTGATGAAGAAGAGAGCAGTGATGCAACAGAGGCTGAATGAAGTGATATGCTGCAAAATATCATAGTATTGGTATGTAAACATTACCTGCAGTAATTACTAAATAAAAATGTGCTCTGTTTTATGTCTAAAATATTGATTTCTTAATTTGGGTTTGGAAAATTGGGGGCCGTCTTATACATGGGGGCATATTCTTCACATGCTGCACCTTGAAATGTTCATTCCTCTCTGATGCTTTGAGAGACACATGACAAGTCACTGGGTAAGCATTCGCTGTCCCCAATAAGGAAGTCACCCTCTGGCATCCCTATTGAGGGCACACGTGGCCTGGTGGCGTGTTATTTCCATAGTACCTGCAAAGCACCCACTGCACTTACCTCGGGTATGTAACATATGGGGCATTTGACATGGACAGGGCAGGCCCATGGCTGAGGACCGCAATATAGTTTTTCTGGGGGGTGGCGGGGTGGGGGACAAGGCCTGCCTGCCCCCAGGCATTTTTGCAATTCCCCCTCTCCTGGTAGTTCTTGGGCTTCTCAATTGCCTTCATGGTCTCTCTCTTCTGGAAGTTGAGTTTCTAGGTGGCCAAGCTGAAAGGGTACAATTTATGGACCACATGCAGGATGCAGTGCCCTGGCCTTTGCTTGGGGATGAGCCCTGCAGAAGGCTGAGGAAGCTGGGGGACTCAGTGGCCAGCTTGTCCACCTCCTCAGAAAGTAGTTTTAGGGGAACAAGCCCAAAAGCCAGTTATAGCTGCCACACCACCAGCCATTGCTCTACTCCTCCATGACAGTGACATCAGACTCCTTTACCGGGATTAGTTCATCTACCCCTCCATCATGTAGGCACATTTTCAAAGTCCAGGATGTTGAGGTCCTGGATGCGGTTGACATCACTTTCCCCTCTTGTCAGGGTACGTAGCATTGGTGCTGGGTATTAGGGACAATCCCACATGCTAGTCATCCTCTTGGTATTGCTGAGGCCTAGTGTGTCCTTCAGGTTCTTCATAAGGGAGCCTTCTTCAGGCCATTCTTCCTCTCCACATAGTTGAACAGCACTGTGGCCTGTCCTGTTGGCCACATCCTCAGCCGCCACCACATCTTGGAGTCATTCAGCAGCCACATACACTGATTCTTCTTGATGTCAAGGTCCTGGTCCTGCTGGACAATTTAGTCTCCTTGGCTATAACAATAACTTCAGTAATCTTTCACAGAGCCCTTCTTTGGCACTCAGTTAGGAGCGATAACTGGCAAAACACAATTCCTCAAAAGGTGAATGTTTTAGCTGATTGCACCTCTGAAGTTACAAAGCTGCAGGTATTCCCCAAATTCTCAAATCTCAGCAGAGAACTGTAATCTGGGAAATCACTTGTACAAAAGGAACATATAAACTCTGAAATGTCTAAAGCGATAAGCCAACTCCACTCACATTCTCACATGGTCTCTGAAGCTGTTACAATGCTAAAGTCAGGTGCCTGATCAGCATCCAATAACCCACTGCATACCCTGAAGAGTTTCTAAGACCAACATTACTGTCCTGTGCTAGTGCCTCCATGGCCCCCTTCACGAGCCCCAGGATTTGCTCCAGCCTGACTACCCCAGCCCCACAGCATTGGCCAATACTTTTGTCTTTTAACCACTCTACTAGAGTTATTTACACACCATCATTACCGTACAGCATATTCTGAATTTGACTGTATATTTACCTTGACCAATGAGATGTATACTTTCACCTGTTTTCATGTTTCCAATTAGCATTCTTTATTTCAGCTTAGAGAATGCCTTTTGCATTTGTTGTGAGTCAGCTCTAGTGGTGTTGAACTCACTCAGCTTTTGTTTGCCTGGGAATACCTTTATAGCTCTTTCATTTCTGAACCTTTGCTGGGTAAATTATTCTTGACTATTTTTCTTTCAGCGCTTTGAATATGTCATGTAGTGCCTCCTGAACTGTGAAGTTTCTGCTGAAAAAAATTGCTCATAGTTTTGTGGGAGTCCGCTTGTATGTGATCAGTCATTCGCTTACATATTCTCTTTGTCTTTCATTTTTGACAATTTTATTACAATGTGATAAGTGATGTCCTTTTATAGTTGAATTTGTATTGGAACCTATGAGTTTCATGTACCTGGATGTATATACTTCTTTGCAGATCTTGAATTTTATATAATTTTCATGTCATGAAATAGTCTTCTTCTTTGAATTTTTCAAACATTCTTAGGACACAGGTTGGTCATCAAGATTTGGCCATAGTTTGCCAACCCTTGGTCCAAAGCATAATATTAAAAAGTAACTTGTTAGAATTATTGGTGGTAGGGGGAGAATTTTGAAAGTTTTACTAAATCAAGAGGATTTAGATATGTGGAATGCAAGCAGAACCATTAAAACCAGGATATTTTGGAGAACATCGCACCAAAAGACCTAAGACCTCAGGCAATCACAGGATTCAGAGTGGGATGGCCCATAACCATGACACAGAGTGGCCATACAGAAGATCTTCACTTTGCCAGAAATATTTTCACAAGAGACAATAAGAGCAGATCTTTAGATCATGATTCCAGAGGTGGGGTGGGCACCTGACATCCTATTCTCACCAAGCAAAGGGTGAAAATTGGCCCCACCTACTCTGGAGGTCCAGCAGGTTTCCCAAGGTAAACTGGGCTTCAGGATCCCAGGTGGGTCACTTGTATCATCACAAACATTCACCTAAGGAGAAAGGTCAGAGTCACTCAAATATTCTGAAGGGAAGAGGATGTAACAGTAATTTGACTTGGAATCTAAGATATGAACTTGAGTTCCTTCCCAAGGGCACAGTCCCTGACGTGTACTCAGGTCCTCACATTTCACAAACCACTTCCTCCTCTGTCCAGGTGGTTTTCCCCAGAAGCCGACCCTGACACTAAATTAGAGAGCAGGTGGCTTATTCAGGAATTGGTTCCCTGGAAGCACCATTAGGAGAGAGAAGTGGGAAGGGAAGGGGGAAATCAATGACACCTGCATTGTAGAGCAACTGAGGTTCGATGTACTGGGGATCTCCAGGAGACAGCAGAGAACACAGGTCAGAGATGTCTCTGCGGGGGACAGGGAACTGCCTCTCCCAGGGGTTAAGCACTCATCCTGGAGCTTTAATTCCCTGGGGCTTCTGGCCTGTCATGCTCATTGCCTTGGAGAGAGCCCTCAGACAGATGACCTGAGGTGATTGTAGCAGATTATCCTTGGCATGTACTTCAGTGGTGGGTGCAAAGAGAGTTCTGTCAGGAATCATAGTCTCTGTTTCACCATCCATTATCTCCTTCACTCGACCATGACCACTTACAATTTATTAATAAAAAATTGTAAGCTCAGTGGGGCTAATAGCTCAGGTCAGGGAATTAATGAGAGCAAACAGGTGTGTCTGTTTGTTCACTCTTTATCCCAAGCCTCTAAATCAGTGTCTAGCAGTGTTAGCCATTGATTAATATTTGCAGAAGGAAGAAACATCACACTATGAGAATGATTTGTTCAAGTCAAAACTTAAGCAGGGATCTTCTCCCCAAACACCCATATTTCCTCCACGATCTGAAAAGAATGTACCAGTATCAGCAGCCAGCACAGTGTGTAGCTTTAAGTGAGTTCAAAAAATATGTGGAATGAATAAATGAAGAAACAATTAAACAAATGTTCCATCTTTCTCTCCTTTCTGTAGGAATCAAAGAAAAATACCAAAACCAAAGAAGAGAGAGTTCCTGCCCCACACAGTCATGGAAAAATGAGTATTTGCACCAAAAATTCACACAACTGCTATTTCTACACAGATCTCAACCCAGAGGATATGACTTCCTACTCAGGAGAAGGAATCATGAGGTGGTAGATGAACAAGAAAATTGGATGGAGATTGGAGACTTAATTGGCCCAGGCCTGAGTACCCAGGAGGAGCCTCCCACTGTTGTGGTGCATGGAGTTGCTGGAATCGGGAAGTCAACCCTGGCCAGGCAGGTGAGGAGAGCCTGGGAGGAAGGCTGGCTGTTCAGGGACCTCTTCAAGCATGTCTTCTACTTCAACTGCAGAGAGCTGGCCCAGTCCGAGACCATGAGTCTCGCTGAGCTCATCACAAAAGACTGGGCTGCTCCTGATGCTCCCATTGGGCAGATCCTGTCTCAGCCAGAGCAGCTGCTCTTTATTCTTGATAACTTAGATGAACCAAAATGGGACTTGAAGGAGCAGAGTTCTGAGCTCTGTCCACACTGGAGCCAGCAGCAGCAGGTGCACACACTGCTGGGCAGTTTGCTGAAGAAAACCTTACTTCCCACAGCTTCCCTGCTGATCACAGCTCGGATCACAGCTCTGAGAAAACTCATTCCTTCTTTAAAGCATCCTCACTGGGTAGAGGTCCTGGGATTCTCTGAGTCGGCCAGGAAGGAGTATTTCTTTCAATATTTCACAGATGAGAGCCAAGCGATTAGAGCCTTTACCTTGGTTGAATCCAACCCGGCTCTCTTCACCATGTGTCTCATGCCCTTGGTGTCCTGGCTGGTCTGCACTTGCCTGAAGCAGCAGATGGAGCAGGAGCAACCACTCTCACTGACCTCCCAGACGACCACAGCCCTCTGTCTGCACTACTTTTTCCATGTTCTCCAGGCTCAGTCCCTCGGGACTAAGCTGAGGGGCTTCTGCTCTCTGGCTGTTGAAGGCACCTGTCAAGGAAAGACTCTGTTCAGCCCCAAGGACTTCAGGGAACACGGGTTAGATGGGGCCAACATCTCCACTCTCTTAAACATGGGTGTTCTTAAAGAGCACCCCACCCCTCAGAGCTACAGCTTCATTCACCTGTGCTTCCAGGAGTTCTTTGCAGCAATGTCCTATGCTTTAGGTGATGGAGTGTTGAAAGGTGATTGCTTTAATAACATCATAATTACAATAGACTTGACAGGTGTATATGACAGGCATGACCTATTTGGGGAACCAACCACATGTTTCCTTTTTGGCCTTTTGAGTGATCAGGGGATGAGAGAGATGGAGACCATCTTCAAATGCAGCCTGTCTCGGAAGAGGCTTCCCTCTCTGCTGCACTTGGCCAAGAGGGAGGTCCTTTTGAAGCGTCTGAACCTAGACCCATATTCTTGGCATTTGCTGCACTGTTTTTATGAGATTCAGGATGAAGACTTTATGAAAAATATTTTCATTCCCTTTACATTGAGGATATGTGTCCAAACTGACATGGAGCTCCTGCTGTTCACTTTCTTCTTTACATTCTGCCACCGCATTGAAAGGCTTCAACTGAATGAGGGTGGACAGCACAGACAAGCAGGAAGGACTTCCGGTGCATTTCTGTAAGTACTTCCCCTCTCTCCTCTCTCCAGCTTCTCTGTTAGTATCACTGTCCTGGCCACTGGGGGCACTCTCATCGAGCCTGGCCCCAGGGTCTAGATGTGATCAGTGACTTCTAACAACAAAATCTGACCCCCATTCTCTGTCCACCTAGGATCCTCTGCAGCAATATATGACCATGTGACCTTCCCTCTCTGCTTCTGGGCGGCCTGCTGTGGCCCTGCCTTGCGCTGCTGCTTCTCTTCCTGTCTCTGTCACAATGGCTACCTTCTCTCCTGGGTGCACTTCCACCCCCATGCTGACATCAGCTGCCCTCCACCCAGCCCACCTGCCTCTGATTCTCCCTCACACATGCTACCTTCATGCAACAGCTCATTCAGCTGCTTCAGGCAACCCCTTGATGGCTGTTGACTATGACATTGGTCCTAAGTTCTCCCCTGTCACCTCAGAATGTGTCTATCTGAAAAGGAGTCTTTATTTTTCTCTACAAATCCAATGTCCCTGTTTGTTTCAATGATGCACTATTGCCCCAGGGACTCCACTGAAACCCACAATCTGAGTATGACAGAGTAGATTGCTCAAATTACCCTCCAGCACCAGCAACACTGTTATCTTCCACATCCAGGTTCCCCACCTCAGTGGCAGTTTTGATCCTTTAGTTCTTTGAGGTGCCTATCTCCCCTTTAAATGATTCACTCCATAAATGTGTATTAAGAACTGATTTTACACCAGCTCCTAAAGATCACAGATTAGTAAAGGACAGCCCTGTCCACTACAAACTCAAATCTGGAAGAGCAAACAGATATCCATTCAATAACTAGAACAGTGTGCAAAGTCCATGGTAAGAGAGGCATGGACAAGGTAGGCATCCCCACAGACAGGTGGATAGGGAACCTGGTTCCCGGGGAGTGTGTCCTGACCAGCACTGGATGTCTGCTAGGGAGTGGCTGTGCAGTTACAGCCCAGAGCCTGGCCCCGATTATCCCAGACAGAAAATGCAGGACAGCCCAAAAGAAAGGGATAAGAGACTCGAGTCACTTACCAGTTAATTCAATGTCTGCAGACATGAAGGGGGAGATGAATGGAGTTGGGGACATATTGGGCTGGGTGATTGGGGCAAGGTGCTACTGGGCTATCAAGATAGACTTATCTGGCAATAAAATAGAGATGGCAGTTTGCATCTTGAAATAGATAAAATCTATTTTTTCTATTTTATTTGGGAGTAGATGAAATCACTTAAATAGTGTGTGACATGTAGAATTTAAATTGGTGGAAATTATACAAGGCAGTCTAGCCTATAACTTTCAAACAAAGCCCATCCTCCTCTCCCACATCCTGCAAATGTTCTCTCCTAGAACATTCCCTTTTGCCATCTCTCTCCTGGGGAACCTCTCTACGGTCTTCCTATCCTGGGAAGGGGATGTGGTCCCACACAAGCCAATCTGGACAACAGTATATATAGTCATAATCAACAATCCCATCACAAAACTACCTTTAAAACACCTCTCCCAGGTTCTGTTCCCACCTCCCATCTCTTCCTTTCCTTTCTGGAAACTGGGACTTTACAAAATCTGTGCCAAAGGAAGAAAGGCATGTCTGTATTGATGAGAGGAAGACTGTCTGCATCCCCAAGCTCTTTGTCAGGCCCTATGATGGACACTATAGGTAAAAATAAAAAAATGAACATCTGCCCCAGCCCACAAGAAATTGCCAGACTGATGCAGAAACAGACACTAAATGAGCACTGCAGTGTAGAATGGCAAGGGCTGTACCATTAGAAACCACAAGGAACGGGGGCAATTAGCCCAGGGTGGTGGGAACAGAGGGGCAGTTCCAGAGACTGATCACCCCTGGCAATAGCCCTGCCCATTGCAGCCTGGCACTGAGAGGGGCCAAACCCCATGGTGTTGAGCACAGTGTGCACATAAGACCCCACACACACCAGTCACATCTCCCCTGTCCCTCTTTCTCCCTCAGGTACAGCTGGGGCCCGTTTACAGATTCCTGGTGGCAGATGTTCTTCTCTATTCTCAAAGTCCCTAGAAGCCTGCGGGAGCTGGACCTGAGTGGGAACTCTCTGAGCTGCTCTGCAGTACAGAGTCTTTGTGATGCCCTGAAAAGCCCTCACTGCCGCCTGGCGACCTTGAGGTGAGTCTGGCCTTGGATCTGATCTGAAACGGGGATGGACAGGAGACCCAAGTTAGAAGTTGTGTCTAGGATGAGTGTGTGGTTTTTGTTTTTGTTTATGTTTTTAACATTTTTTATTTTTCAATTACAATTGACATACAATATTATATTAGTTCCAGATGTACATCCCAGTGATTAGACATTATAAAATTACTAAGTGATCATCCTGAAAAATCCTTGTATCCAACAAATATTCATTGAGCCCCTCTCTGACCATGGCTACTGCAGTAAGCAAACACAGACAGGATTCTGTTTCCACAGAACTTGCAAGTGACTGACATTAACCACACAAACAAATGTGTCATTACAGGCCCAGATAAGGGCCTTCAGTGGAAAACTACCTTATAAAGTGAATATTGAAGGACATGTGAAGAATACAGAGGGTTTACCTAAGTGAAGCAGGAGGGCAGAAAGGTCAAAGGCCCTGTGGCAGGAGGGAGGATGGGCTGTCATGGGATTGAAAGCAGACAAGTGAGGCTGGAGGATGGAGAGCAAAGGAGCCACGGGAGGCTTCAGAGGTCATGAAGTAAGACTGTCTATACAAGGCCCTGTTGGAGATTGGGGTTGTTTTTTCTAATGCAATGTGATTATCATCAAAAGGTTGATAAAATCAGTACATTTACAAAGTAGAACCAGACTACCATATAAAACTGGGAGCGGTGGATAGCAATGGTAGAGATTGGGAAACCAGTTCATAGGAAAGTTTCAGTTTTCCAATAAAGATGGTGAGAGGTTGCACTAAGGAAAGTTACCATAGTTTCTGCAAGAAATAGTTGCATCTTGGACTATGGTGTCAGCCATGGAAATGGAAAAAAAGTGAATGGATTTAAGAGATCTAAAAAGAAAGTAAAATCCAATAGATTAGAATTATGGGGAAAGGGAGTTGGAGATATAGAAGATGATCTTGGGTTCAGGCCAGAGATATGCATGGGATAGTGGCACCTCACTGAGATGGAAATACTGGAAGAGGAGTGAATGGGGGGTGGAATATCAAGAGTGTGATTTTGTGCAAAATCTTCAAGTTTTTTTTGAGATAGCCAATGGGAGATGTCAAGCAGGTATCAAATTAACTTCTGTGCAAAAATAAGATGCCCCATAAGACAAATCTCAACAAATTTAAGAGAATTGAAACCATGCAAATTATATTACCTGAACATAAATAAATCAAATTGGAACTCAATAATAAAGGGAAATTTAGGAAATTTACACATACACAGAAATGAAACAACACACTCCTAAATAAACAATGGGTCAAAGAAGAAATCACAAAGGAAATTTAAAATGCTTTGAGATGAATGAAAACAAAAACAAAACGTATTTGATGCAACTAAATCAGTGCTTACAGGGAATTGTATATTATCAATGCCTAGATTTTAGAAATAAGGGCTACAACTACTCACCCATTAGAACTGCCAAACCTAGAACACTGACACCACCAAATGCTCACAAGGTTGTGGAGCAAAAGGAACCCTCAGACATTGCTAGTGGGATTGCAAAGTAATATGGTCATTTTGCAGAATCCTAGTGAACTAAACACACCCTTACCAGATGATCCAGCAATCGTGCTCCTTGGTATTTACTCAAATGAGTTGAAAACCTATGTCCACACAAAAATCTGCACAACAGTGTTTATGTCAGTTTTATTTGTAATTGCCCGAACTGGAAAGCAACCAAGTTGTCCTTCAGTGGGTGAGCAGATAAATAAATCATGGTATATCTATACAATGAAATATTATTCAGTATGTGAAAAAAATGAGCTCTAAAGCTATAAAAAGAACAGGCGAACCTTAACTGCATATTACTAGTTGAAAAAAGGACATTCTGAAAAGCTATATACTATATGATCCCAACAATGTGAAATTCTAAGGACAAAAATATGAAGACAGTAACAAGATCTGTGATTTCCAGCGGTTTGGGGGAGGTAAGGATAAACTGGCAGAGCAGAGTGACTTCTCTATATGACACTATAATGGCGGATACATGTCATTTTATATTTCAAAAAACCATAGAAAGTAAAGCACCAAAAGTGAGCCATAATGTAACCTATGGACTTTGGGTGATTATGATGTGTCAATGTAGGTTCACTGATTCCAACAAATTTACTACTCTCCTGCCAGATGTCGATAATGGGGGTGGCTGTGTATGTGGGGGGAGAGGTATATAAGAACTCTGCAAAAAGTTCCAGAGACATAGAAACACAGAACAGATTGCAGAACCTCAAAGAGAAGGTGGGAGAGGGTGCCAATTTTGCTGAAAAACTAAAACTATTCTATAAAAGAGAAATAGTCTAGAGCAGCGGTTCTCAACCTGTGGGTCGTGACCCCTTTGGCGGTTGAACGACCTTTCACAGGGGTCGCCTAAGACCATCCTGCATATCAGATGTTTACATTATGATTCATAACAGTAGCAACATTACAATTATGAAGTAGCAATGAAAATAATTTTATGGTTGGGTCACAACTTGAGGAACTGTACTTAAAGGGCCAGAAGGTTGAGAACCACTGGTATAGAGGATTAAAAATGGCTGCAGAGTAAGTGGATGCTGCATGGACATGCTCCTAAGCTAGCAATATATTAAAAAGATCACACACCATAATCAACTGGGATTATTCCAGGGATGCAAGGCTTGTACAATATTTGCAAATCAGTAAACGTGAAACCTCACATAAACAGATTAAAAGACAAAAATCATATGATCATATCAATAGTCACAGAAAAGGCATTCAACAAAATCCAACACCTATTTTTGATAAAAACTCTCAGCAAAGTGGGAATAGAGGGAGCATATCTCAACAAGATAAAGGCCATATATGACAAACCTACAGCCAACATCATACTCAATGGCCAAAAACTAAAACCATTTCCCCTAAGAACAGGAACAAGACACGGATGCCCATTTTCACCACTCTGGTTTGACCTAGTACTGGAAGTGCTAGTCATAACAATCAGAGAAGAAGAAGTAATAAAAGGCATCTAAATTGAAAAAGAAGTAAAACTGTCATTATTCGCAGATGATATGGTATTGTACATAGAAAACCCCAAAGACTTCATCAAAAAACTACTAGAGAAGATAAACCAAGATGGCAGCATAGGTAAACACCAGAAATTGCTGCCGCACACAACCACTTCAAAAATACAACTAAAAGACAAAACAGACATCATCCAGAACCACAGGAAGGCTGGCTGAGTGGAAATTCTACAACTAGAAGGAAAGAGAAAAGCACACTGAGACTCAGAGGAGGTGCGGAAGTAAAGTGAAGAGGTACGAAGGCGCATGTGGAAAGACAACTGAGGACGCGGTTGTCTTTTTCAATCGGGAGGGAGTGACAAGCCCCCGACTGCTCTGAACGCCAGTTCCGGGCAAGTCTCTGGGGACCCAGACTCATATGGGGAGAAAATGGACTGTCCGGCATCGGTCAGAACTCGAGGGCGGCTTTCTCTCAGAGGTGCTTGCAGCGATTGCCTGGACACTGAGACCAGGGGCCTCTTAGGGCAGGGCCGAGGATCAGCCATAGCTGTTTGCTCCCCCCTGTTGAGTCCCTGAGACCATGCCCCACCCAAACTGTGTGCAGAGGCTTTTGCATATGAAAGGCCTGGCCCATTGCAATCTGAAAATTACCTAACAAACTGCAGCTGGGTCAGAGAGACCCAGAACTTCCAAAAGAAGGCCCAGGGCCCCACAGTAACTTGCATTGCTTCACAGCTGGGCCCCATCTGGGCACTTCCAAACCCCAAACAAAGAAGAGGAATCTGCAGATCTCTCCATAGATCCTAGTGGGTAGCCTCAGGCAGAGGCTAAAGTAGCACCTCCTTAGAGATCCAAGAGCCAGTGTACCCAGTGGTCAGAGTGGGACCATCCAGATTACAACTCCTCAGATCCATAAGGGACACACTAAGGGGGCAGACTCAGTGAGTACCAAAGCCCCACTGAAGCAAGTCTTGCCCATAAGGGTTTCTCCAGCACAGAAGTTCTCCCACCATAGACACAGCTGATTCTCACAGACAATTGGCCTGGAGGTCAATTCCTCCCAGTGATACCAACAACAATCAAGGCTTAACTACAACAAGATTGTGCACAAAGCCCACAAAGGGCTACACCAAGAGTGTCCACCTCAGGTAATTAGGGAGGCTGAGGCACTGGGCCCTATAGGACACCTAGCACAGAAAGCCACCCTATCAACACAGGGAAGCATAAAAAATGCAGAGACAAAGAAACAGGTCACAAATGACAGAAATGGAGGAAAGCAAATGACTGGATATAGAGTTCAAAACCACAGTTATAAGGTTTTTCAAGAATTTTCTGGAAACCACAGATAAATTTAGTGAGACCCTGGAGGATATGAAAAAAGACCAACTAGAAATTAAGCATACACTGACTGAAATAAAGAATAATATACAGAGATCCAACAGCAGACAAGAGGATCCCAAGAATCAAGTCAAAGATTTGAAATACAAAGAAACAAAAAATACCCAACCGGAAAAGCAAAAAGAAAAAAGAATCCAAAAATATGAAGATAGTGTAAGGAGCCTCTGGGACAACTTCAAGTGTACCAACATCAGAATTATAGGGGTGTCAAAAGAAGAGAGAGGGCAAGATATTGAAAACCTATTTGAAGAAATAATGACAGAAAACTTCCCCTACCTGGTGAAAGTAATAGACTTACAAGTCCAGGAAGCGCAGAGAACCCCAAACAAAAGGAATCCAAAGAGGACCACACCAAGACACATCATCATTAAAATGCCAAGAGCAAAAGACAAAGAGAGAATCTTAAAAGCAGCAAGAGAAAAACAGTTAGTTACCTACAAGGGAGTACCCATATGACTGTCAGCTGATTTCTCAACAGAAACTGTGCAGGCCAGAAGAGAGTGGCAAGAAATATTCAAAGTGATGAAAACCAAGAACCTACAACCAAGATTACTTTATCCAGCAAAGCTATCATTCAGAATTGAAGGTCAGATAAAGAGCTTCACAGATAAGGAAAAGCTAAAGGAGTTCATCACCACCAAACCAGTATTATATGAAATGCTGAAAGGTATCCTTTAAGAAGAGGAAGAAGAAGAAAAAGGTAAAGATACAATTTATGAACAGCAAATACATATCTATCAACAAGTGAATATGAAAATCAAGTGAATAAAAAATCTGATGAACAGAGTAAACTGGTGAATATAATAGAACCAGGGGCATGGAAAGGGAGTGGACTGACAATTCTTGGGGGGGAAGGGGTGTGGGGATGCAGGTAGAGACTGGACAAAAATCGTATACCTATGGATGAGGTCAGTGGGATGGGTAAGGGCAGAGGGTGGGGTGGGAACTGGGTGGAGGAGAGCTATGGGGGCGGGAAAAAGAGGAACAACTGTAATAATCTGAACAATAAAATCAATTCTCAAGAGCTGAAAACAAAATAAATAAATAAATAAATAAATAAATAAATAAATAAATAAATATAAAAATAAAAAAATAAAAACCAAAAAAGGTACTAAGATACAAAGCTTTATTCCCTCCACCCTATGGCTGCAGCCATAGTTGTTCATCATTGACATTACTTTGAGAGGTGGGCAGCCACAGGAGGGGAGATAGTTACCCTAAGGCCATAAATCAGAGAGAAATTGAGAAGTAGGCAGGATGGGAGAATGGGGTTGGGAGCAGATACATACCCTTACATTGAACCTCACCAGAACATCCCGCGTCAGCTAACTGGGCATTTGGCAGGGCTGATGTATTTAACCATTAGGCCCAGTACACAACTGGAAGGTTGACTTAATTAATCGTGCAGTGCTGATGTGGAGAGTAGGAAGCATTGGTAAGAATCACACAGGAGTGAGAAATGTAACGTGTGGCTCCTTGGCTGCAGGAGGAAATGAAAATCTCCCATGCTCTGGCCTATTCGGCTCAGTGGTGGGAGCATGGACCCCCAGATTGAAGGGTCACGGGTTCAATTCCCAGTCAAGGGTGAGAACCTCAGTTGCAGCTTCAATTCCTGGTGCCCCATCTGGGGCTTCTTGCAGGAGGCAACCAATTCTTTTATCTTTCACATCGGTGTTGCTCTCCTTCTTTCTCCTCCCTCTCCTCTCTTCCACTCTCTCTAAATATCAATGGAAAAAATATCCTTGGTGAGGATTAAAAGTAATTTTTTTTTTGCCAATCTCTGTAACCTTTATTTTATTTTTATTTATTTATTTTTCAATCTTGAAAGTATTACATAGGTCATCCTTTTTCCCCCATAAACCTCTTCCAGCCTGCTCTCATCCTCCTCCATCCCCCACCCCCCAAAAATAAAACGTTAAATAAAATGTCCCAGGTTACTATAAGCCACACATGTGTATTTCTTTCTTGAATATCATCAAGGACCCCAAAAGGGCCACAGTACTAGAAATGGAAATCAGACCCCAGTTACCCTGAGGAGAGGGCCCTCAGGACATGCCAATCTCTCCCACAGGCTGGTCAGGTGTGGCCTCACATACAACTGCTGCCAGGACCTGGCCTCCATGCTGGGTGCCAGCCCCAACCTGACAGAGTTGGACCTGCGGCAGAACGACCTGGGCGACCTCGGTGTGAGGCTGCTCTGTGAAGGCCTCAGGCAGCCTGCCTGCCAACTCAGGAACCTATGGTAAGGCCCTGGGGTCATTTCTGGGCAGAGGGCAGGGAAGGGGAGGGAGAGCGATGGAAAGGGGTGTGAGGGCCCTGAATTGAACAGGGGAAGTAAAGGGGCAGAAAAATGTGTGGGCAGCCTGGCTTCCCCACCGGATCCGCCACTGACTTAGGCCATGAGACAGGCAGGTCTTCACCCGAGACTCAGTTTATTCATCTGTATAACAGGGCTCTCATACCAACCTCATAGATGTGATGAAATAAAATGCATGTAAAACTAGAGCAGCGCTGGGAACAGAGTTGAGAGGCTCAAATGAGAACCACTGGTGAGGCCACATGTTCAAAGGATTCCTGCCCCGGTTTACCTCTCCATCCAAGGCAAGCCTCCATCCTGTCTTCCTTCTGTCCTTCCTTCCTTCCTTCCTTCCTTCCTTCCTTCCTTCCTTCCTACCTTGACTCATTCATTCATTCACTCATACATCCTTTCATTCATTTCATGACTCCCACGTCCCAAGCACTGGGCCATGTACTGAGGAGACAATATTGAGCAACAGGTGTGGGTCCTGCCCCCTTAAGCTTACACTCCAGTGAGAATGAGACAGATGTTGATGACATGTTAACACGCAGTGTGTAGCAGTTTGTGAAGGGAAAGTGCACTGTGTTATGAGAGTGTAACAGGGCGGGGATGGAATTAGACTCAGGGGCAGGGAGGGCCTCTCTCAGGAAGTGACATCAGACTGAGACCTGAAGCAGAAACAGGGGTTGACCAGGCCCAGTCTGGGGGAGCAGTCCAGGCTGAGAATAGCGTGGGGGAGACCCCAGGACAGAAACAGGCTCAGAGCTCTGGAGAGCGGTGTGGCTGGGGTGCAGTGACCCCCAGCCCTTTTTTCCCACACTGTCTCCCGGCCACTTCCTGTTGCCCTCCAGCCTGAAAACAAGTCCAAAGCCAGTTTCTGACTGAACATTTCCCTGCGGCTCCTGGCTGGGCCTGTCTCACACTCACAGAGCTGACAGACAGGGCTCCAAACCTCCATGTCCTGACCCCTCAGTCTTGGCTGAGGCTCCTGCCGGCTCTCAGCCTTCCAGTCCTCCTTTCTCAAACCTAAAGCAGCAGGAGGTGAACACTCTACATGTGGGTCCTCCCAGAGCCCACTCTGTCCCTTTACAACCAAGGGCACCCCATCCCATAGGGGTACCACCACCCAGCCCCCTCCCCTCTGATCATGTGTGGCTGTCACCATCTTCTATATGCTGAAGGGGCTCTCTAGAGCTAGGACTTTTCAGTAGGTCTGCGTCCATGCCCTACTCACCCATTATTCTTTGCCTTTTGGTTGCCTCAGAGCAGCTCTAGGACATCCTGCGAAGGTTTATGCCTCCTTCCTTCTAGGGCCCTGGGACTGGGATGAGAGGGACAACCTCTGCATCATGGCCCCATCCCCTTCCCAGGGGAGAACAGCTCTGACAGCAGGAATGAGGAAGGTGTGCGCCCTGACAGGTGCAGGGTCTTCACACCTGCCTTGTCCGTGGCTCACAATAGGCTGAGCAGGGCCCTCCCTGTTGGAGGTGAGGACATGGAGGCCCAAAGTGGGCAGCAGCCATCCCAAATCCAACAGAAACCCCAGAGCACAGGGCGTGTGAGAATGGAAACAGGCTCTTTCTTTCCAGGAAGCCTCCTAGCTTCTGGGAAGGAAATCCCAGGTCCTACTTCTGTGTGGTGAGTTTGAGGCCAGGACACTGGCTGTTCTCTGATGGATGCTGTGAAGTGCTGCCCAGTTCGCTTTCAGGAAAGAAGACCCAACCCCCACCCCTGGGAGTGCTGCCAGCAAGAAGGATGGCTCTGCCAACTAGGGCCATCTCACACAAGGTCACTGCCCTCCTGGAGTTGCCTGCATCCAGTGACTGGTGTAGTGGTATAAGGACCTTTCTCCCAGTATGGACAGCTCTGGAGTATCATCCTCACAACAAACTTCCCACAGCGTCAGCTGTGTCCCTGGGGACTGCATCACACCCCAACTTGTCCCTCTACCCAGTCCTGTTACCTCCCTCTGCCCTGGTATTGACCCAAGAACACTCCCTAATAAAACTCCTAACTCTACTTTCCATCATAGAACGTGTTTTCAGGGAACCCAGCGTACAACACGTTCCTGCAGGGCCTGGAAGGTTCCATGATTCTGGGCCCTGAGGCCCTGGAGATCGTGAGGGGCCCCAGTACAACCAGGCTTCCTTTCTGCTTGCAGGCTGAACCTGACTCGACTGAGTGAGGAGGTGACAGAGATGCTGAGTCTCCTGCGGCAGGAGAAGCCTCAGCTGGTCATCAGCAGGCGGTAAGGGGGAGACACAGAACTCCCTGGAGCTGACCCAGGCCCAGGGCTGACTCCTAGAGGCTGTTCCAGGAACATGGGCCAGAAGTGGGGTGGGGTGAGGTTGGAAGCAGAGATAGACAGAAGCAGGAAGAAGCCAGGAAACCACAGCAGCCAGAGTGAGTTTGTTTGTTTGTTTCTTTCTTTAGTTCAAACAAGATTATGTCCCTTCTCTGTTTAACCCTCCCATGAGATGATAAGGAAGTAAAAAAATGAAGAAAAGTGTATGAGTGAGTGGGTGAGATTTGGCACAAGAAAAGCAATGATGTTGAGGAGGAGATAAGGACAAGCAGAGAGAGCTTTGGAGAGGATAGACCACTCCCATTCAATCTCCACACATATAAACAATCATGCACGCTGTCCAGCTGAGGGGAATCCTGGGAACAGGAGAATATGATTTCCTGCTGGGAATTTGCTGCAGCCCCATGAGCCTTCACTTTTGTATATTTTGGCCTGTGACTGCAAAATACATCTATGCCCTGGTTCCCATTCCTCTGCCTCACCTAGTATGGCAGAAGCCATAAGGAGGCCTTAGGAGGAGCCATTCCTCAAGGAACACGACCCAAATCCCTCTGTGATATGTTTGAGCTTGCAACAACTCTGCTAGCTATGCAGTTCACTGCCTGGGTGAGCTTATGTAGAGCAATTAATACAATGTCTACTTCTCTCTGTAATCCCAGAGTTCACTTCCCCATGAGTGGCTCCTATCCCTGGAACAAATCCAACAGAAACTCCAGAACACAGGGCCTGTGAGAGTGGCTCGTTCTTTCCAGGACACCTCCTAGCCTCTAGGAAGGAAATCCCAGGACCAACTCTTATGTGGTCAGTTTGAGGCCATGGGGCCTGGCTGTTCTCTGGTTTGTTTGTTCATTGGTTTGGTGCAAACAAAATGATGTTGCTCCTCTGTTTAAAGCCTTCCACTAGATGATAAGGAGATGAATAAGTGAAAAAAAGTGAGCAACAACCACGAGGAGGAGACAAAGACAAGGAGAGAGAGCTTATGGGGGGAAGACCACCCTCACTCACCCTCCACACATATAAACACCCATGTACACAGCCCAGCTGAGGGGAAGCCTTGGGAAGAGGAGAATGCATCTTCCTCTGGGGCATTTGGTATATTTCGACTTGTGACGGCAAAATGCACTTATGCCCTGGTTCTGACTGCTCTGCCTCACCTGGCATGGCAGGGAACGGCTCCTAGGCTTAGGAGGAGCCATTCCTCAGGGAACAAGCACTCCCCTCAGACCCACAGTGTGTGGGGCACAGGACCATGGACATGGGCCCAGCTCCTAAGAATTAACTCAGCAGGGACACAGGCCCAAGTGACCCTAGGCATGAGTCATTGTGCCTGGGATCAGCATGAATGATCTGATGGCCTATCTGAGTCCGTCCAAAGGACCTGAACTGAGTTATGAAAGGTGGGAGGGCTTAGCTGGGCCTCGAGTGGGTATTTTCTTGGCAGAGGTAGAGGCTCTAATCTCAGCTCCTTTGAGGAATGGAAGGAGGCCAGGGACCAGAAACACTGCTACTCAAGTGTGGACCATGGACCAGCAGTGTCAGCATCAGCATCACCTGAGAGCTCATTAAAAATGCAAATCTCAAGCCTCACTCCAGACCTGCTGAATCAGAATCTGTGTTTTGACAAGGCCTCTGAGCAGCATTGGATCAGAAGTGAGTGAGCAGGGAGAGTGGCAGAGGTGGGATTGGAGCTGAGGGGTGGCAGGCAGTTGGGAGGACAAAGAGGCCTTTGGACCATGTTAATAACTTCCGCTTCTACCTCAAAAGCAATAAAGAAAGATTTCAGGGCTTCAGTAGCTAAGTGATGAGTCAGGTTCAAATTAAAGATCAGCTGCTGTGTAGAAATGGCCTGGAGAGGGACAAGAGAAGAAGAGGGCACCTTCAGGGGGAGGATGCAGTGGTTGGAGCCACAGATGCCAGAGCCTTGGCTGGAGGTGGAGGCTGTGGAGGTGGAGAGAAGGGACTAGAAGGAGAGCTATACTAGAGCCAGTGACAAGGTGGCCAATCAACTCTCAGAGGGAGCCAGAAGGAGTCAGGACTACATCCCAGTTCCTGCATGGATGGAGGGGTGGATGGGGGCCATCACAAAGACAGGGTCTATGAGAGAACATCAGATGAAGGCCATGAGTTCAAATTCAGATGCGTTGAAATTAAGTGGGGATGTCACGTAGACAGCCCCAACTTCCTCCAAGATCTCAGCGAGAATGACCAATTCTGTGTCTAGGAAGCCAAGTGCAACGATCACTAAGATGGTCCCAGGTGGAGGACAGACGAGGGATGGCACATCCCCACCCCAATGGCAGAGATCAGAATCAGGTACTTTGAAGGGGCCGGGCTGGGAGCAATGTTAACTGGGACAGGGGTGAGGATGATATGGAAGGCCATCCCCTCCATGCTCCTGCCTCTGGGGTGAGCCATGGCAGAATTCACAACTAGAGAAGCCTCGCTCCATGCAAGATCTTCCACACCTAGAAACTGGCAAGATCTCTGGTTTCGTCCCTCCCAGGCTCAGGGGCTGAGGCTGCTCCTCGCCAGCTCATGTCTGGCATGTCTCAAACTCTGATCCACTCTGGGCTTCTGAGGCCTGGGAATCCCTTTCCATCATTGTCCATCCACCTTTAGAGCCATGTTCTTCTCAAAAGCTACCTTTCTGGTGGATTCGGGAATAGAAATGCCTTCTGTACCAGTGGGCAGGAGTGGCATCAGGGACAACAGGGTTGGGCCTCCTCAGATAGCAGGTAGTCAGCTTCAGGAGCATGGACAGAGGCTACTAACACACACCTTCCAAAGTCCAGGCAGACCAGCCTTGAAAAGGACCCCTCCATGTGCTAGCTTAAGGGGTAGGAGAGGCCAGACAGGAGACCCTAAAGCTGACCACTTCCCTGTCTCTTCCAGAGGAGAGCTTCTCTCAACTATTCCAGGAACTCTCCTCTCTGTCATCTTGTGAACCTCTGGGGAACCAACCAGTGGAGCCTCTAACTATGGATAATTATTTCTGGGGCCCCACAGAGCCTGTGGCTACAGAGATGGTTGACAAACACAGGAATCTTTACCGGTAAGTGACAGGACTCTGGTGTGCCCGGCTGACCTCCCCACCTTTCACCATCCCCACACTGGATCCCAACAGACACTCAGCACCCCACTCATGATCCATTGGGTCCCTGCTCATTGTTGAGCCACCAGACAGAGAGACAGGGCTGCATTAGTACTTTTGTTATGGAAACAGAAGTTTTATTATGAAAAGTTGCAAACAACCAAGAAAAATGTTCAAGGGACTACCACTTACTCATTACCCAGCTTTAACTACTGTTTTCCTAAATTTGTTTCAACTATTTACTTTCCCTTTCTTTTGTTGTTATACTATTTTAAGTACAAGATATCACTTGATTTTATTCATATATGTTTTGTGATGAATTTTGAAGAATACAAAATAACCACAATACCATTGTCATAACCACAAAGCCATTCTCATATCTAACAACATTTACAATAAGTCATTTTCATATCATCTAATACCCCATCTGTATTCAATATGCTCAATTGTTCAAAATATGTCCTTGCAGTAAGTTTATTCTAATCAGGATCCAAACAAAGTCCACTCATTTTATTTGGTTTGTTATATATCATAAATCTATTTAAATCTCTTTTCATCTACACATTCCTGCTTTATTAACATCCGCTATGTGCAAAGTACCATACCAGTAACAAGGAGCCATGAGATGAATATGGAGGCATGCCTTCCAAAGGTTCCCAGTCTTAAGTAATAAATATCTATAATTTTAGTTCTGATCTCTTACATAGCACATTCCCATTCATTGTCACAGACATTATTTCAGCTGGGCAATAATATTACTCACAACTTACACACAGAACCTGACATCCTAGAAACCCACTCTATACCAGCAGGGAACCTGAGGAAAGTCTCTGTAAGTTTTATTTTAAGTTCAAGTGGTTATCATTAATATCACCATGTAGATTGTTATTAATTATTGAAAATTAGGCCCTTTAAAAACAATAGCACTTGCCTGTTTCATTATTATTAATATTATTTTTACTATCACTAGAGGCCTGGTGCACGAAATTCATGCACGGAGGGGAGGAGAGTCCCCTCTGCCCAGCCTGTACCCTCTCCAATCCTGGATCCCTCTCACAATCCAGGACTGCTGGCTCCTAACTGCTCTGATTCACACTGGGCTTCTGAGGCCTGGGAATCCCTTTCTGTCATTGCCCATCCACCTTTAGAGCCATGCCTGCCTAATCACCCCCAACTGCCCCCCCTGCCAGCCTGGTCTCCCCCAATTGCCCCCCACACTGGCTTGGTTGCTCCTAACTGGCCCCCTCCACCAGTATGGTCGCCCCTTACTGCCCCCTGCCCAGCTGATCACCCCCAACAGCCCCCTCTTTCAGATTGGTCAGCCGTAACTCTGTTACTTGGAGAGTTGTGTCATCTCCTACAAGGTTAGTGTGAGGCAAGGTTAGCACAGTTTCAGCG